AGGTCGCATGGCCACCTAATCTCACTACCTACAACGCTAATATAGACAAATACTCATACCTCTTATTATCCAGCAATTATACTATTAAATACATAAAACATCCATTAAATATCACCATATATTTTATTGAAAATATCAAATATAAACTCAAAATTTTTACATAAAATTATAGAGCAAGTAAAACTCATAATTAGTAAAACATACTAAATAAATAAGTTTGAATTTAGTTAATGACATCAATAAGGTAATTAACTAAGGAAGAGAGATTATATTTTAACTATTCGAAATGCATTGACCATATAATACAAATTTTGATAATTAGTTTCTTGAATCCGTCGTCTTAAAGTTTGTATTTATATATTTTTTTTAAATTTCTATCAGTAGATATTGATAACTTAAAACTTGTAATATATGAGACAAAATGTCAACTGAGTTTTTTGGTAAAACTTATTATATATAAATTAACAAAGAAACTTTTATGGTTCATAATTAGAATTATTCTGGTCAACTTTCAGTTGACGTTATTAGTGGTTTGTTGGGAAGAAAGAAAATTATTTCTATTCTCACAGATGATACAATCAAACGATTATAAAAGTAGTTTAAGTATTTAGCATGGTAGGGTGAGGCAGTGAAGAAGAAGGATGTGTGCTTCCCACGTGACGTGGCAGCTAAAGCACGAGCAAACTTCTGCATGGCATGCCCAACACACGCACTTATACGTCCACCCTCTGTAAACCAAACTCTCTTTCATACAATTAATTAAAACGCCGAAAGTGGAAGAAAAATATTAACAAAACTGATATGGGTAAAGGATAAGGTCACAGCCTTTTCTCCATGTAGAAAACCTAATTCTTGGGAATTGGATGTCAAATTCTTAAATATGAAAGACAGCGATGGCCTGGGAATCTACATCATTCATGATCTCAACACCATTTTTAATTACTTTAGTTTATTATTTATCAAAATTATGTCATAATTAACTAAAGTCAAATTGGAGTCACTTAGTTCAAAAGCAAGAGGTCTCAACTTCCACACTTTTATCAATTTAATCTTTTAATTTTATGCAGAAAAGAGTCGTTTAAAATGTCCAACTTCAAATTTCACAATCACAACACAACCCTATTACCAGGGATTTAAAATTATTTCATGTAAACATCATTGCTTTGTGAACTTAAGCTTCTTATCAATATGAGTAAAGAATGGTATTTTTATGATTCTTTAGTTTGTTTAAATATAAAGGATTAAAGAAGACAAGGACTGCATTTATGAATTTAGACATGCATAGCCAACGTAATAATCACAATTTTCCCAAATGCATAGGTTTTATTTGAAGGACAAATATATTCATACAATTCATTAACTTACCAATCATACCCTCAATCAAACAACAAAAGATATATTCTTAATGTATAATGCTAAACTATACAAGATTTAATATTGTAACAATTTACAGTATGATTTAACAGCTTAATTAAACATGCTATGAGCTATGAAAATATTGTAATTATTCCTGTAAAAATCACAAATCTCGCGTATTAATGAAACGCCAAGTGTTATACAGTAAAACTTTTATTTCATTCCTTGATCATACTTCCACGCAAAGTAGACTGGAGACTGGACTGGGTAAACAACTGAACAAAAGATATTATTAATTATCAATTCAGAATATCTTATTAATAAAGAGAAGATACGCATATGATTTATGTTCACACCGACTAGCTTAGACGGCACAAACATAAACTACCAAACTTCATATTTTGTATTGTAATGTGCAAGTAAATATAGTTTTTGTATTTTATTGGAATCCAATACCAGAAATCAGAAAAAAAGAAAAATCTTCTAACATTATGAAGCAGGTAAGTCATTGGTTTAAATCTTCTGAGTGAGTTTTTGAAGAATAGAGAAATTGTTGTTGTTTAACATTTATCTAATTAAAATTTAACGATGATAAGTTATTCGTAGAATTGGGTTATGAATTTAACAATAGCAACCACATTAGATGGGAGAGAAAAACTTGTACATATTTGCTTGTGGTATGTATGATTGATATTGTGTTCTTTAATGTTGTAAATTCTTTTTTCGTTCAATATAAATTAAATATAATCCTAATAGACTTGAAAGAGAAGTTAAAGTTTGCTATTTGTCAATTTCAGCCCAAGTTTTAAGTCATTGAATTCAACCAAATCAATAATTAAAAATTTGCGTTACAAATAATGCCAAATCATATAATATGCAGTAATATCATAGATTAATAAAATTAGGTTAGAAGAAATAAATCCAAATCACATTTTAATTTTAGTTCAAATGTGAAAAATAAAAATGTTTCTTTTTGAAATACAAGTAGGAAATTTATTATTGAAAATAAATTAAAATTTTATAATTTATTGACTTTTATTAATTGTTATATTAACGGTTTATGTTCTTNGGAGGAGAGAAAAATTAGAGTAAGGAAGAAGATAGAAGAAAGAAAAAAGAAGATGAAGAGAAAGAGAAGGAAGAAGAAAGAGAAGAGGAGAGAAAAATTAGAGTAAGGAAGAAGATTAGAAGAAAGAAAAGAGGAGATGAAGAGAAAGAGAAGGAAGAAGAAAGAGAAGCGAAGAGAAAAATTACAATAGAGACTAGAGAGACGCGAATGTGTTAAAAGAAAGTGACGGGAGTGATGGGGAGAGAGAGAGAGAGAGAGAGAGAGAGAAAACAGAAAGAAGAGAGTGATGGGGAGAGAGAAAAAAGAAGAAAGATGAAAGTGATGGGAAGAAAGAAAAAAATAATTGATAATAAAATCTACAGGATGCATTTGCTTTATTTTAAATTTATAGGAGCTTATAGGTACATTTTGGGGATGTATTTACTGATTTTCAAACTTATAACAATTAATAAAAATGTTTAAAGATGTGACTGTTGTATACCGATCAGACCAACCGATCCAATCGGTTGGATCGATCAACCCACGAACTGGCCCTTTGATTGGGTTAACGAGCGGTTTGGTTTTTAAAACAATGATACATACTACTAAAACGTGAATTTGTAACTACACCACTATTAAGTTATAATCTCTTTATATTAATAAATTAGTTTAATCTCACTATTATGATTATAGAGAAATTTGATTTTATTACAATCTAATAGTAATGGAGTTGATGAGGTGTAAAAATAAACTAAGTTCTTTTTACTTTCTATATTCTATGATCATGAATTTATGTTCTAATTTAAGTCAAAATTTTATGTTGATAAAACATAAACCTTTATATATAACAAAATTATTTACTTGGCCACCGTAGTAACCAGTAAAAAAATATCTATAGCTTATGCGTAGGGGGTGTTTATCTAAACTTATAAGCTGGTCAAACTTGTTTATAAGCTCTAAAATTAAGCTAACATGTTTGTTTATAATTTTTTTGAGTTTATAAGTTGAGCTTATAAGTTAAAAAAAATAAATTGGGAGGGGAAGATACTTTTTTTTTTTTTTGGNTATATATATATATATAAAGTTCTTTGAGACAATGATTTATGTTTTAGAGTTGTTATTACATCTTTTAACTTGCGGGTATATAAAAGCTCTTTAGCATTGACAATTTATAGTTGAAGCTAAAATATTTCTACCTTCCCAAGCATATTTACAGTTTCTTGAAACTTTTGTATTTACATGCTATTATTCTCAGTATTATTTATTTTCTCTTCTTATTTAAAGCAATGACTACTACAACAATGAATTGAAATTCTAATATATACCTCTGTTTTAAAACTTGAACTAGACCGGTCGATTCGATCGGTTCTACCGGGAGTCGGCCTTTACTCCAGTCCGGGTTAACATAAAAATCAGGAATGTTATTAAGCCCGTTTTGGACTGGCGAAACAGTACAAAACCACTAGTCCGATCGACCCGAGACTTAAAACCGTTCGCTATTTTTGGGTATTTGATCCTAAAAAATTCATATTCCTAATTCCTACACCAATTTGTAGCACCGTTCATTTTCCATTTCATTTGAATAAAAAAACCAAATTGCATCTTTCATTTTCATCTTCTATTCTTCTTCACTTACTCTAAAATCCATCGTGTAAAGAAAAAGAAGTAAGGGGAGGGGAAGGAAGAAGAAAGAGAAGAGGAGACAAGAGAAATAGTAAGGAAGAAGATCAGAAGAAAGAAAAGAGGAGATGAAGAGAATGAGAAGGAAGAAGAAAAAGAAAAGGAGAGAAAAATTAGGGTAAGGAAGAAGATTAGAATAAAGAAAAGAGGAGATGAAGAGAAAGAGAAGGAAGAAGAAAGAGAAGTGAAGAGAAAAATTACAGTAGAGACTAGAGGGACGCGAACGTGTTAGAAGAAAGAAGAAAGTGACGGAGAGTGATGGGGAGAGAGAGAAAAAAAAGGAGAAAGATGGAAGTGATGGGGAGAGAGAAAATAATTAATAATAAAATCTATAGGATGTATTTGCTTCATTTTAAATTTACAAGGGCTTATAGGTAAATTTTAGGGATGTATTTGCTGGTTTTTAAACTTATAACAATTAATGGAATTGTTTAAAGATATGACTTTTATATACCGGTTAGATCGACTGGTCCAATCGGTTGGACCAGTCAACCCGCGAATCAATCCCTTGACCGGGTTAACGAGCAGTCTGGTTTTTAAAGCAATGATACATACTACTAAAACGTGAATTATAAGATAAGAAATCAAAACACTAATTTTTGTCACTACACCTCTATCAAGTTATAACCTCTGTATAATAATAAATTAGTTTAATCTCACTATTATCATTATAGAGAAATTTTATTGTATTATGATCCAATGGTAATAGTAAAGGAGTTGATGAGATGTGAAAAAAAACTAATTTCTTTTTACTTTCTATATTCTATAATTATGAATTTATGTTCTAATTAAAGTCAAAATTTTATGTTGATATAACATAAACCTTTATATATAACAAAATTATTTACTTGGCCACCGTAATAACAAGTAAAAATTATCTATGGCATATGCGTAATAAAGTTGTGAATTATAATACTCAATACTTAAACGTCTTTAATAAACTGATAAAAAATTTATCTTACTACAATTTGAAGACACGTCAACACAAGGGTTCCAAATTCAGAAATGAGGGCTACACTGATGTAGCAACGCCGCTGGGATACTAAATTCCTGCGTCAATGCAACCCTTCTATGGCGCGGGAGGGAAAATCTCCGGGGGCATGCTGGTCAATTATAGGAGACAAACTACAGACCAAAAATTCATTCAAATCTGGTAGAATTTTTAATAACTCTCAAGAATCCTTGCCACTGACGAATATGTCCCCAACATTGCACAAATGATACCTAAGGTAGCTACTCCTGTGCTCAAAACAATCTGACAATTTTGAAAAATTAAGCTAGCGTTAATGAAATTGCAGTGAAATCTCACAGTAAAATTTTCGTAATTGAAAAACACACTAAGAAAGGGTGTAAAATATGCTATTGGGATAATGATTCTATTCATGTAGAATAATCATACCTGTGTTCTAGTAGCTTTCCTCCCCATGATTTTTATGAAACACAATGCTGGCATTATTACAGCCTGAGTACAAGTCACAGAAATCATATACTTATTGTTAATTTCCACAAGAAAATCCTTGCAAAATATTAAGGCAAACAAAAAAAAAAGGGAACAGTCGATACATGTCAGGTTAGCGTAATGAAATATTTCTTAAGCAATGTAAGTTTTGCATATCATACTACAGCTACCTTACTAAGAAATTATGAGATTTAACAAAATAATTATCTCAGAAAAAAAGAAGTATCTTCTTGGAATATAAATCTCAACTTCTCGAAAGAAGATTTATTTGAATCTTCTTTACATACTGTATTCAGAATATTAAGATTTGGTATCAAAAGTGATCTTTTTCATGGTCTCCAAGTGTTGTAATGAAATGTTATGCTTACCACAAGTATACTGAGGAGGGAACCAATTAAAGCCATCACAAGACCTGCAATAAACCAAAATAGTATTTGTGTCTGAGCCATGAGATAGTGGAGCAGCTTAAAAACAGCAATTAATTAACAACTCATACTACGAATAAATTATAATGAAACCGCACAAAATAGTTTATGCAAATTGCATTCTCATATTTCTTTTTCACTGAATGCAGGCAATGGAATGTAGCAGACCATTAAATATTGTTTTATTGTATTATCAGTTAGAAAATTTTACTCAAAAGGTCTAAAAAAATAATGATTAATTGCAGGATAATCAGCCAGGTTTTACATTTAAAAATCATATATTTTTGCTGATGATCATTTAGTTCCTGCAACTTTCTAACACATATAGATGAAAATAAAAATTAAACATACTAATTTTTCAACACCAAATATTATAAATTACCGAAGAAGGGAAGAAGAAAAGCAGCACAAACAGAAGAAATGACGAGTGCAGTCCTTAGAAGAATGAAGCACCAATAACTATTCGAAACCGTGTCAGGTAGTAGCTCCTCTATACTCCTGGCCAATGGATTCATCAAGAGCGCATATTTGTTCAAAGTTAAGGAAACAATAGAAATCAACAGATGAAAATGATCAGAAAAATTTGTCCGATAACTGAATTTCATAACTTGTCTTTAGATTGAGAAAGGATATTTAGTAAATGGGTTGACGACCTGAAAAACAGCAATGTAGACAAGATTACAGACATGTTAAAAACAAAAAACATCCCAATTCGATAGTCGCGGAAAGAATCCACAATCTCATACTTACCGTAGTCCATATTGCAACTTTAGAAGCAAAGCTGTGAGGTGGCATATTCAAAGTTATCTGGGACAAGGTAGCTTGGCCAAACATAAGATATCCCATCACTGCAACACCCCCGTATATTATAATGCACAAAGCGAAACTGCACAACAGGAAATGTTTAAGAAATAGAATACACGCTAGTAAAGTATATGGCCTAAACACAAAAAATAAACTATTATTACCATACTATCAATGCCTTAGTAAATTTTGTTTTATCAGCCATTGATTGATAGATATTCGGAAACACAGAGTGCCCTGAGTAGCAAAACCCATAAACACCAATTGCAAATGGAATACCACTCCAGTTCACTACTTCACCAGTTTGATGGAAACCAATGCCGTCCGTTGTACCAAGGAAAAACACACAAAGAGCTATTAAGATTGTTGCAATGACCCCTCCAGCTGCATATTAAGTAACAAACAAAAATGCTTAGTATTAATTAGATCATCGACATTTCCAATCCCTAAATTCCTTAAAGGTAATTTGATTACAAGTTTGAAATACCTGAAAGATATGAGATCAAACGAAGATCCCTCAACCAAACAGTAGGTAGAACAATGACGGCAGTTAAAATTCCAAAGAGGTGAATACCGTCCAGCTGAAAACCAAGCCAACCCAAGGATGCTCCAGGGAATAACCTAGTAAGATTATCCCCTTCCAAAATAATGAATTCCACACAATATGACTGCAGATATAATATATATAGAAAAGACATCTCAGAAAACTAACTAATAAGTAGTATATTATAATTATAACAAAATGTAAAATTTGAAAGGACGCTTTACTTACATATAATTCTGTGTACAAGATGATCTGCACAAAGATCCAAAAACACTAATTAAGTATGTTGAACACAAAAAAAGAAAGAAAAAAAAAAAAAACTGAGCTATGAATAAAAATAACAATACATGCATCGCATTTTACTTCCACTTCAAGAATTTTTTTGAGTGAATAAATTAAATCTAAGGATCAAAACAAATAAGGCAAATTCTTTCACTTACAAGTAAAGTAAAGGGATACAGAAGCATAATAACTAGAATAGGCAAATTCAATAGAATTATACAGATAAATAAATTGCCTAACTTACTGATATTAAAAGACGTCCATATCTGCCGAAGGCAGCTTGACCAATGTCTGGGTAGGTAAGGATGCCTTCTTTGGTCTCAAAGCAGTATCTCATGAGACATGCAGTATAACAACACACAACCGCAAACATCAAAAGCACTATCAAACTTGCCCACCCGGCTTCTTTTATCGTATAAGGCGTTGAAAGAAGCCCAACTCCAGCCATTACGTTAATTCCTGTCCCAAATCAATCGTAATAAATAATGGTTAACGAAAGATACTAAATGAATAATACTACACTTACAAAATGTCTATACAAAATCTTCTATAAAAAGTAATGTGTCACAATAAAATGAGATGAATTAATATTAAAAATTCAAGTCAATAGGTGCACGATAAATGACAGTGAATGAAATGACAATACAAGAGTATTACCACTGTCACTTTGTATGCAATATTTTCATATTTTGTATAAACTCTTTATATGTGAAATATTATTCATAATAAATAGTGGATCAAAATTTAAAAATCTTGAGATTACATATATTACCATTGAAGATAGTTTGAGTAAGGCTACATCCATGAGCAATAGGTAATTCTCCATGAAGTGAAGCTTTGGCTGACCATGATGATTGAGTAGTTGATATCCTAGCCAAGTCTTCCTTCTCATGAACACTTTCATATTCAGACAATAAAGGAGATTTAGCATCCTCCTCTATACTATTTCTTCTTTGACTCAGAAAGCTTGAATATCTAACACTCGATGTTATTGAAGGTATAAGGCTTCCAAAATTTGGTGATGCCGCAATTGTGTAAGAATCGACTGTCTCCCTGCCATGAAACAGAGTATTGTCAAACGCAGTAAGATTATTGTACAAGAAGAAAGAGGCAGCGTGGAGGAGGATTAATTTTTTTTTATTTTTTTATTTCATATTAATTGTAACATTTTAATGTATGTGTTGACTAAAAACCTTAGTCAGCTGGTTGTTTAAGGGGGCCCAAACACACCCTTATGTGGGTGAATATCACTGGCTAGTCTAACACACACCTTGGTCGATTGTCGAAGGGGGCCACTTTAGAAATCCAACTCGCCCTTGGTGCTATCCCGACTCACATAGTAAGAGCAACTCACCCCGCCCACATAAGTCATGAGAACTTGGGCTTGCTCTTATATCACTTGTCCCANGGTGAATATCACTGGCTAGTCTAACACACACCTTGGTCGATTGTCGAAGGGGGCCACTTTAGAAATCCAACTCGCCCTTGGTGCTATCCCGACTCACATAGTAAGAGCAACTCACCCCGCCCACATAAGTCATGAGAACTTGGGCTTGCTCTTATATCACTTGTCACAAGTCAAAGTGTTTATCAACTAAACAAAAGACTAGCCTATTAGGTGATGCTACCTCCTATATGCCAAGATTTAACTTTTTTTTTTTTTTCTATTTTAATGTGGGATCGCAACACCGGGCCAGGTTTTTTAACATCATATTTATAAGTAAAGTTTACTTTGAGAGGAAAAATTTAGTATTAGTCAATTTAACCAGATACGGAGCACAATGAGATGGAAATGAGAAGATACTAACGAAGAAAAATGGGAATTCATACAAAGGAAAAGGAAAACAAAAGCAAAATAGAAAGGAGGAAATATTCAGTTACATTTATGGTTATGATTATAAATGAATAAGGGCGAATCCAGGAGATTTACTATGGGGAGTTCAATAAATGAAGAGCCAAAAATAAGAGTAATGCTACATGTATAAACAAATCTTACAAAGATTTATGTACAAACTGATGTGGTACAAAATGAATGGAAGAAGGAATATGATGATTTTGACTTTTTGTATTAACTCTTCCATTCATTTTGTGCATGTCAGTTTATATACAAATTTTTGTAAGATTTATTTGTACATCTAGTATTATTGCAAAAATAATTTAGGAACTATCATTTATGGGGCCAAAGTTAAGTTCAAAAACTACAAGGGTTCAAAAGGAACAAAATAAATTTTAGGGACTAACTACTAATTTTTAATGTATTTAAAAAAATAATTAGGGGGCCTAGGATGGCCTAGGTCCACCCTCTTAATGAAGTCACTATTTTGTATCATATGTTATATATAGTTAGAGAAGGGACTGACTAATAAGTAATATCTATTAAGGTATTCAAGATTAATTGAAATTTCAAACCTATTTAATGTTAGTGGATAGCTTCACTATGTTCACTATAACAAGTAGATGAAAGGCTACCTTGGATATAACAATTTTTTAATTCAGGAGCCACGATGTTATTTCTTTCCTTTAAATATATTTCATTTAAGAAATGTGCTAATAAATGGGAAAGAGGGGAGATCTTAAATAACTTTGAAATGTGAAGGGAGGCAAGGGATAATATTCTAACCTATGGGGAGTCATAAACTAAATCTTATGGAGGTCAAAATAAAGCCCTGATGTTTATTTGTTTTTACCGGTTTGCTCCTAGTTGTTGGATTAAATAGAATGTTTCCCTTAGATTTTAGAAATACAATAAACCCCTTTGCAAATGTTAGGGTATTACATAAACTATTTGCATAAAAATTTATATATATAATATATATATATATTCTATATATTATATATATATATATAATATAGATTGTTGAATGTAGAATGAAAGTGCTACAAAATTAAATATGTCATTCATATAGTTAACTTTATTTAAAAAACAACTAAAATTGTTACTTAAATTCAAAATTAGATTAAATTGATAACTTCTCCTACTTCTTATAAATAGTTTGACTCTAAAACTCCTATTGGAAACACAAAAATTATATATTTGGTCAATTTTTAGTTTGATCAATTCGGTGAGTTTAATACATTTATTACAAATATAATAACTATGTGAACTTAATATGTAACATTCGTGATGGATGCTAAGAAACTATACCATAAATATTAGTAAATAAAATTTTGTTTATCTTTAATAAGAAGTATTAATGGTATAAAAGAGATACAGATAATAATGGTAATAACTAATAAGATAAAATTATATAAATTTTACGGAAAAAAATAATTTGAATTAGAATTGAATCAATTAGCTTGAACTTAACTAACCTAATTTGAATTGGTTTGACTAAATTTTATTTGATTTTCGGTGAAATTAATAGTTGCAAAAAACCAAAAATAAAAGTAATATCAATATCAAAAAAATTCATTGATCAAGAAATTAATTAATAATAATAGAATATTAATTAATTTATGACAAAATTGTTGACTTAATACTTTAAATATTTATTCACTTAAATACTATAATATTTAATTAATTAAATCACTGTACTTCAAGCAACATATCAACAATTCTTTGAACATTTATTGAAAATTTAAGCGTATATTTAACTAGTTATTATTTAAAATTGAAAAATCTAATTAATTTTTTTTTCTAAATACAAGATACTTCCTATTCATTTAAATAGTTTATTAACTAACTAAAATAAAATAAAATAAAACACACACACACACACACACACACACACACACACACACATAAATAAGCAATTAATTGCCTAATTATAGAATTAGACGTTTAAGTTAAGTTAATAATTATCTAATTTAGCATTCATATTTTAATAGATAATTACTTAAATGAAATTTTTAATTCATATTTATTTCTCAAATTGAATGGATTAAAGTAATCGATTATTATCAAGATAATAAATGAAGTCAGGTGTGCGGTTAACGTCAAACATCTGGAAGCATGTGTGAATGCTTATTTTGTAAGTGATCACAAATCTGGCTTTATGGGTGTTATTTCATTTTCACAATATAAGGAGATTTTTATTTACTTTTTATGAATCTTGATTATATTTGGTTAATAGATCTAACTATTTATGACAAAATTCATAATAGCAACTATAAACTTAACATGCTAAAGTCAGAATCTTAAATTAATATTTAAAATTTAATTATAATTATAATTTTCCCATACGAGGAGAATCTCAAAATGTAATCAAATAAATATTTTAAAGTCAATAATACAAGTGTATTTAATCTTGTGTAAAATTCTTTTGACAAAAAGAGAGGAATGCGGCATTGGAGACAGAAGATAGACCCTTCTGAATTAAAAAAAAAAAAAAAAAAATTAAATAATTTATATATTTTCTCTTTTAAAACAAATTTTTTATTTAAAATCAAGATTTTAACAAAAATTATAAACGGAAATGGAAACTAGTAATTAACATGTTTAAGAGTTAAGACAAATTATTCAAAGTGAACAAAATAAGTGATAATTTAAAGGGATTTTATCATTGTGAAAGTGATAAATTTGTTTTTTCCATTTTGTTGAGATGTATTTCAAGCGTGTATTCATTATTTTCATTTTTATCTTTTCAATCATATCAATATTTAAAAAAAAAAAAAAAAAAGCAAAATACATCAAAGAGGACCCTATACTTCGCATAACATTGTCAATATGAATTGACACTAATCTCTCTTCTCACCTTGATCTTGATATGTGTTATGTTGTTTTAGTACCTCATTTATTATTTAATGTTGATAGTAATATGTTTTTACACACAATTGAAGAATTAAATGTTCTGACTCTGATTCAATTTTTTTGTTAAATTCGTTTTCAATGGTATTAATGTAGGCAATTGAGTTCATATACATACTAGAGTCCGATCCAATCTCATTGATATTAATACAAAGAGAAAACATATAAATAGCCGTGAAGAAAAAGTACCTGAAACTCTGTGGCCATTGTTGAGAAGAGAAAGTTGCAGGATTAGAGCCTTATCTCCATCTTCTCTCGTTAAATCGTCTTCATCGAACCAGAGCCACTATTATCATTATGCCATTCTCTTCTATGTCTTCTTCATCAGAATCATCCTCCAAGAAAAACTCCTTTTCTCTCTCTATCCTGATCACCCATTAATAATCTGTACATACAACAAACACAAATAAGTAATCAAAAATCACCCAACCAGTATTATATTCAAAGGTTAGACTGAAAGCAGGACGCAATAATTTTTGGGAATCGGAGAAGGTGATTTTGTGTTTTGCAGGTTTTCGGAGATCGAGTGGGTGAGAAGGAGGGTCCAGAACCAGCTAGATAACAACAAGGTTTCGTATTCACCTGGATTGGGCAACACAATAACGTATTCAAAACTTGTTAAACGAAAAGGATTGCCAGATAAGGATTAAATAAATAGCCGACGCGCCTTTTATTTTTACCATAAATATTCTTTTACTTGGATTTTAATTCAACTTTTTTTTATTATGCGATATTATCTAACAATTAAGAGATAATTCTAATTTATTTAAATACTTTATTTTAGTCCATATAATTAAGAGACACTGGAAGGGTTTATCTTCTATCCCCCCGAGGATGAGGAAGCTCAAAGATCTCAGGGTTTTGCGAGAGTATATATGCTTCCTAAAAAGTAGATTGGGCAAAACGGGCGTGTAGCGGGTACGGCCGGGTCCAGGGTAGGACTCAAAACAGGTCGATTTAAACGGGCCCAAATTTTGGACCACACCCTACCCTATACGGGTATGGGTGACCCGCGGGTGCCCGTACTGTTACACAAAGTTTTAGATTTTTGCAGTTACACCCCCAATCTTCCCAAAATATTCATTTTTGAGCAAAATTTGTCACCAACCAAACAGAAAAAAGAACCCACGTTTTCTCCCAAGTTTTCTCACCAGCCAAACAGAAAACCAGAAACCAAAGAAAAAGATTAAAAAACTTATTGATTTCCTTCATTCCTCATCAACCATAAACCCACATAAAAAAATCTGAAAAAAGAAAAAATGTACAAAAGAAAAGCAACAGTTTGAGAATGAATTGACTCCCAAACAAGCAAAATTGAATAGATCTGAGTATCCTCTTTTTACTGTTTAGTTTTGAAACTTCTACCGCAGATTCTCACTCTTCAGTCTTCATCCAACAAAAACATAACTTTGATTATAACCTCCACTTCCACCCACTTCCACTCCCTATGTCCCACTGCCACGCTACCCCTGCTCATCACTGATCACTGCCCCTGCCTCATCTAATCACTACCACAAATATCAACTTTTGAGTTCCGCCTCTTCTCACAGAAATAATACAAGAACTTTAAAAATACACCTCAGATTATACAACAACTATCAAAGATGTCTGAAGGTAAAAGAACGAAGCCAGAGAAGAGGGAAACTGGGGCAAAACGACGACGACGAATCTAGGTCACAAAAAAAAGGGCGTGAGAAGTTAACAGAGAAGGGAGGACTGTGACAGAGGAGAAGCGAAACGAAGACAGGAGAAATGGCAACGAGGAGTTGAGAGGAGAAGCGGCGACGATGAGTTTGAGAGAGTTAGGATTTTGTGATTTGGGGCAAAACATGGCCAAACCCCAATTAGATTTAGGGTATCCCTGCAAAATGAAAATGGTATAAAAACAAACGGGTGCCGCGGGCACCCGGGGGTGTGTCTCGTTAAACCGTTGAAAAAACGGGTTGAGTCGGGTACAGGTAAAAGAAAAACAGGGCTAATATTAAAGACCACACCCTATATTTTTTATCGGGTTTAGGGTCAGACCGCGGATCCAGACCCATTTTGCCGGTCTACTGAAAAGCATTAAAAAAAACCCTAATAAGAGAATATATATAATTCTTTTTAAAACAATGGGGGTGTTAAAGCTTCCTCATCTCTCAGGGGGTAGATAATAAAAATTGAAAAAATCAGTTACTTGACAACAAATATCTTATCTAAATCAATAATGCCCTAGGTTTTGTGTTTTAGGTAAGTGCAGTAAGTTTAAATATTGCCACTATAATTTGTGAAATCAATATTTATAATTGGAGAATCAATTTTTATTCCAATTGCACATGACTTTATTCGATATAAGTTTCAATATAATTTTGTCTTTAGACACAATATTGAGTTAACCTACTTTCTAAATGTTTTAATGTATAAAAAGATGTGATATGTGAGTCTGTTATTATTGAGTTATATAACTTTTACTATGGAATGATTAAGCAAGTGGGAATTATATTTACCATATGGAAATAGTTTAAGAGATTAGGACCCAAGACATTTATATCTATTAATATTGAATAATATTACATTTATTTTTTCTCAAATTCATATCCTAAATTATAGTGGAAGATATTAATTCTTCAAATTTGTTATGTTCCATAAAAATTTAAATGTCAATAACTAATTTCAAGTAGAGTAAGGCATAATAAAATAAAAAAAGATAAAGTGCATTCAATAAAGTTTATAAACTCAATTATACATCATATTAAAGTATTAGACTTTAATGAAGAAAAATAACAGGTAAAATAAAATAGTCTTGTCCTTAAAGTAAATAAATATTTCGCTTGAATGATGTGGACATGTGATATAGACAGTATTCACATAACGAATCTTATTTACCATATTTATTATGTATTAAATATGAACAATGACATGTGTTAATTGCTGTTATTACTTGTATAAACTTAGTGACACTGAGTCAAGTGATAAAGTCCACGCTCGTAGAGTGCGCGTTGGCAGTGTTATAGTATTACTTTGCCCACTGTGTTTTAGCGTTTGATGATTCATTCTATCTCATGCGAACATCACGTGGAAAAGAGGTCTGTCCTTTACCAATAATTATGAATCAGCCCACGCTCCGTAACATGCACTAAACTATATTGACGAGATACAAATGTAAGGACATATCAATTGGTATGACACTTTACTTCTTAATCTGACCGTTGATTCTTTTTGTAACAGTAGAAGAATAAATAAAACTATAAATTAAAATTTAATACAATGTTCTGATTGTTTTTTCTACCTGGACTGGACCCAAATTTCAATCTTGAACGGGCCGGTCCTCATAGTCATAGGCAAGCCCAACAAGGATCATTAAATTTCAAACATATGCATTCCAAAGGCTTGAGTTTTTAAAATATTTTTCAAACTTTTCAATTATAAAGTACCATTTTATTTTTATTGTATTTTTCAATTTTTTTTTTATATACTTATAAACATAGAATTGAATACCTATAGGAAATTTACAAGAAATGAATTGTCGAATTGACAAATGATAGAGACAAACATAGAAAGTATACAAATTGAGAGATGAAAATTTCATTCGTCTTTTATGTCAATTGATAAATTACTTAAAATAGTGAAAAAAAAAAAATTAACAAATAAACAATGCGTCTCTCTCTAGGAATCAGATATTTTAAAGATAGCAGACAAAATCTAGAGGGGCCAAAATGGAATTTCAAAGGTTTTGTAGGATTTGTTCCTCAATAAACTAACATTGAAATATTTTCAGTCTACTGGCCTATGAAATACTCTTATGGGTCTGGTCCAACCCAAGCTTTCCTTGGGTCCAATGCAGAATTGAAACCAATTTAAAGGCTAAAAAGAAGAGAAAAGAAATTTGTGTTTCCTCGTAGAAATCTAAGTTTAGATTATTAAAAACTATAAATTAAAACATTGGAATATATTGAATTCTTTTCTTGGGCGGTGAAATATTATTAATTTTGAAATTGATAATTGTGTGTGTGATTTTGCCATAAGAGCTTGCAGTCTTGGAAGCTCTCAAAAAGATATAGTACTTCAACCAGAACAAGTCAATCTAGAATCAGTTCGATTCAAGAGTAAGCGACTAAAGTAAACTTGCCACAGTGATAAATCCAAACAACTGTTCAACGAAATCAAATATAAACTGCAATCTGGATATTTCGAAAAGGATAAGATCAACACTAATGGCCACGCACATCACAAGATCACGGGTCAAACAACTATGATTACAATCCCAATTTTATCTTCATTAATACAAACTTGTATAAAAACCCTTCAACTGATAAAGAGGGATTAGCAACTTATTCTAGGCAGACTATATTTCATTGTAAGCCATCAAAACAATAAGACAACAATGAAGTAGGCTAGTTCTAACTTGCCGAACCACTTTAAAAATCCTTTGTATTTTTACCTTATTACACATTTTTACTTTCAGTCTGGTTATTCTAATCAGCAACATCCGTTTCAATTCTATTAAGGTCAATGATTCTCTTAGGTTAGTGCGATTTCGTATCAACAATAATAAGGCTGTGTTCCAACAAATTTATCCTAATTTCATTTATCAGAATTCTTTATTTGAATATTATTTCAAAACCAAGATCGCCACATACATACATCATCAATATTCTATAGCCAAGATCATTTATCACTAAACTCACCAATTTTTTGTAAAAGACAAGTAATTTTTTTTTTTTTAACTCCATTAATTTATCATTAGCCCACATTTTTTTTTTCATAAATGAGGGGTTTATTATGATTATAAAATGGTGGTTACCCTCCCCTTTTTATTAATAAACTTAACTTTATAGTTAAAAAAAAAAAAAAAAAAAATCAAGAGAGAGAAGTTTATTTAGCATAAGGCTTTAATTGGGTGCAATTTACACTTATTTATTAATCGGGGCTATTAATAAAATAAGTGGAGTTGGAAAATAGTTGTTATAATAATCCCAGAATTTATATCAAATAATTAAAAATAAATACATGAACTAAGAATAAACACCGAAATAATTAAAATTAATTACCAGCTCATGTAAAATAAAACAAAAAAATATAGGTCGCATGGCACCCCAATCTCACTACCTACAACGCTAATATAGACAAATACTCATACCTCTTATTACCAGCAATTATACTATTAAACCTAAAACATCCAATAAATATCACCATCTATGTTATTGAAAATAATATAAACTCAAATTTTTTGCATAAATATAGAGCAAGTAAAACTCATAATTAGTAAACAACTAAATAATAAGATTAAATTAGATGACATCAATAAGGTAATAACTAAGGAAGAGAGATTATATTTAACTATTCGAAATGCATTGACCATATAATACAAATTTGATAATTAGTTCTGATCCGTCGTCTTAAGTTTGTATTTATATATTTTTTTAAATTTCTATCAGTAGTATTGATAACTTAAAACTTGTAATATATGAGACAAAATTCAACTGAGTTTTTGGTAAAATTATTATATATAAATAACAAAGAAACTTTTATGGTTCATAATTAGATTATTCTGGTCAACTTTCAGTGCGTTATTAGTGGTTTGTTGGGAAAGAAAGAAAATTATTTCTATTCTCACAGATGATACAACAAACGATTATAAAAGTAGTTTTAAGTATTTCGCCTGGTAGGGAATGGCAGTGAAGAAGAGGTGTGTGTTCCCACGTGACGTGGCAGCTAAGCACAGGCAAACTTCTGCATGGCATGCCCAACACACGCACTTATACGTCCACCCTCTGTAAACCAAACTCTCTTTCATACAATTAATTAAAACGCCGAAAGTGGAAGAAAAATTAACAAAACTGATATGGGTAAAGGATAAGTCACAGCCTTTTCTCCATGTAGAAAACCTAATTCTTGGGAATTGGATGTCAAATTCTTAAATAGAAAGACCGCGATGGCCTGGGAATCTACATCATTCATGATTCAACACCATTTTAATTACTTTAGTTTATTATTTATCAAAATTATGTCATAATTAATAAAGTCAAATTGGAGTCACTTAGTTCAAAAGCAGAGGTTCAACTTCCACACTTTATCAATTTAATCTTTTATTTTGCAGAAAGAGTCGTTAAAATGTCCAACTTCATTTACAATCACAATACACCCTATTACGGGAAACCTATTGGCTGTGATTAAAATCATTTCATATAAACATCATTGCTTGTGGAACTTAAGCTTCTTATCAATATGAGTAAAGATGATATTTTATGATTCTTTGGTTGTTTAAATATAAAGGATAAAGAAGACAAGGACTGCATTTATGAATTTAGACATGATAGCCAAAGTAATAATCACAATTTTCCCAAATGCATAAGTTTTATTAAAGGACAAATATATTCTACAATTCATTAACTTACAATTATACCCTCAATCAAACAACAAATGGTATATTTTTAATGTACAATGCTAAACTATACAAGATTTAATATTGTACAATTTACAGTATGATTTAACAGTTTAATTAAACATGCTATGAGCTATGAAAAATGTAATTATTCCTGTCAAAATCACAAATCTCGCGTGTTAATGAAACACCAAGGTTATACAGTAAACTTTTATTTCATTCCTTGATCATACTCCACGCAAAGTAGATGACTGGACTGGGTAAAACTGACAAAAGATATTATTAATATCAATCGAAATCTATTAATAAAGAGAAGATACGCATATGATTAGTTCACACCGACTAGCTTAGACGGCAAACATAACTACCAAACTTCATATTTGTATTGTAATGTGCAAGTAAATAAGTTTTGTATTTATTGGAATCCAATACCAGATATCAGAAAAAAAGAAAAATCTTCTAACATTATGAAGCAGGTAAGTCATTGGTTTAAATCTTCTGAGTGAGTTTTTGAAGAATAGAGAAATTGTGTTGTTTAACATTTACTAATTAAAATTTAACGATGATAAGTTATTCGTAGAATTGGGTTATGAATTAACAATAGCAACCATTAGATGGGAGAGAAAAACTTGTACATTTGCTTGTGGTATGTAGATTGATATGTGTTTCTTTAATGTTGTAAATTCTTTTTTCGTTCAATATAAATTAAATATAATCCTAATAGACTTGAAAGAGAAGTTAAAGTTTGCTATTTGTCAATTTCAGCCCAAGTTTTAAGCCTTGAATTCAACCAAATCAATAATTTAAATTTGCGTTACAAATAATGCCAAAATATAATATGCAGTAATATCATAGATTAATAAAAATTAGGTTAGAGAAAATAAATCCAAATCACATTTTAATTTTAGTTCAAATGTGAAAAATAAAAATATTTCTTTGTGAAATACAATAGGAAATTTATTATTGAAAATAAATTAAATTTATAATTTATTGACTTTTATTAATGTTATATTAACGGTTTATGTTCTTATAGAAAAAAAATTTATATGAGATAATCTTACTGCTCATATATATACAAGTTGTTGATGCTCATTTTTTGCACCAACGATTTCACCTGCGTAACGTGATTGGCTGTTAAATCACGTGAAAATGGAATATATAAAGCGAATGAATGCAAAGGGGATTTTTAAGGGTGGTGGATGCTAAGGTAGCAAGTCCTACGTCAATGATTTGTATAATATTAGGTGGGTCAGGTCGCAACTGCGGACTGACTTACAAAAGAGTTGGAAAAGCAAATGTGTTTACAGGAGAGAGAGAGAGGGAGTGTTTTTCAGTATGAAAATGGCCGAACCCCTTAACGAGGGGTCTTCTTCATTTTATATCAAACTGAAGCGTGTAATCATCATTAAATCCATGGTTTGGTGTGATTGTCAGGATATAATCCGGCTTTATGTCCCATTTTCCCTTTCCCAAGCTGACTCTCGACGACTTATGCAGGGAAATGGACGCGTGTGAGCTCCATATCATTGGCAGGTCTGACGTGCGTGTTCTCTAACGGGAGCAGGTCACCCTTCACGTGACTTTCTCATGTCAGCCTTTTATTTTCCCGGGTATAAACAAAGTGATGCTATTGGTCGTCTCGCACGTTTTATCTTACCAAACCCTAATTATAGTTTTTTTTCAATTACATTTCTATCTTTTATAAAAATTACTAAGTAAGACACAAAATTATTTTATGCACAACTCATCTAGAATAATTCTTTTGCTATTAATTTGAATTTTTTATTTTATTTTCTACATCACAACTCTAAAATAATATATATGAAACGAGTTTGATCAATAAAATATGTGTTAAATTCTTTAGGTATATTTTTATCCTTTCTTTTATTATTTCTAACTTTCAATTGAATTTGCACTTTTCCAGAATTTATAAGTTTCTTAATTTTTTTTTTTTCAAGAAAACAAGTCATATAAACCAATTATATGCTTGATATATTAAATGAAGAAAAAAGATAAAGAGTATATATAAAATAAGGATTAAGAAAATATAATATAAATAGTGAAAATATTAAATGTATGGGTTATTTTCTTGTTTTCCTCTATGACAGAAGCTAGATGTATCAAATTAATATTAATTTTGTGGTAGATATAATGTCATTATCATTGTTTTTATAAAGAAGATTTTTGAAAAATTAATTAATAATTAAAAAATGGCGGGATTTTATATATATATACTTATCCTGGTCATCACCTTCTAATCGAACTTGGTTAGAAGATCGAAATACGAAGCATATTAAAAATGTGTGCATTATCTCCATTTTTACCAAGTTTTGGGTGGCCCTTGGAAGAAATAATAAGCCAGCAACAGAACTACATGTATAGAGACACTGATACTATTGACTCGATCCCTTATTTTTCTCCACCTCAGCATCAACTACATCAGCTTGATCGCTCTGCATCATTTACGGAAAATAGCGGAGACCCATCCATGGCTAAGAAGCTCTACCACAATGCCAGCGAGCGTGATCGTCGTAAAAAGATCAACAGTCTTTATTCATCTCTCCGTTCATTACTGCCTGCTTCAGATCAAACAGTAAGCCTTCCTTTCGTTTTCATCACATTAATTTCCTCCAAATGTTTCCTATTGGATCTATGATCCCTATACCCAATATTCACTTATTTTTAAACAGCAACAGAAAAAAATAATAATAATAATAATTAGAAAAACTCATTTTTCTGGTAATGATTTTATCTATCGCTCCAATATACATTTATGCATCTACTTTGATTACAATAAAAATATTCAAATATTCACTCTAAGTGGGGCTCTGGAGATGAAACAAACTTTAATTCAATCCAAAAGAAACGTACCTTAATTATATTGAACTTTGTTATTGACACAGAACCTTTAATTGATGATTGTTACAGAAGAAATTAAGCATTCCCGCCACAGTTTCACGAGTGCTAAAGTACATACCAGAACTCCAACAGCAAGTGGAAAGACTGATTCAAAAGAAGGAAGAGCTTTTGTCAAGGATATCGAGACAAGGGGATCTTATTCATCAAGAAAAGCAAAGAAAAAACTTTGCTGCAAACTCTTTATCTTCCATTTCAGCAAGTCGGCTAAACGATAGCGAAGTTGTGATCCAGATTTCTACATGTAAGCTACATAAATGCCCATTATCTGGACTCTTGTTTAGTTTACAGGAGGATGGTCTTCTTCTTATGAATGCTTCTTCGTTTGAATCCTTTGAAGGAAGAGTCTTTTACAATTTACATCTTCAGGTGTGTTTTTTTATTTATTAATTATTAGCTATATAATAATTGTGTCTTATTTATATATGTATACTTAAATTTTTTATTTGCTTATTTTGGATTATTTAGGTGGAAAGAAGCTACAAGCTGGAGTGTGAGGTTTTAAGCGATAGGCTATTGTCATTATACGAGAAGAGGGAAGAGATGTTTGCATAAAATTAATTTTGGATGTAAATACTACTATATATATATATGAATGAATTAGCTACTATATAGCAAGAACTGAAGATGAAAAGAACAATGTGAAGATGTAATTACTTCTCTTGATTCATGGAAATCTAATATTATTGTGTTCTGTTAACTCACTTTTTGGTTGGAGATTTTATCAAAATCTAATAACTATAAACAGAGGATGCCTTATTTTCAGATGTACTTAAATAATGTTAATAAGATTAACTGTGGGTCTTTGTTTATATTTTTAGGTTTACGTTTTGGTCGATCGATCTGGAATCTGAAGAAGAGAACTAATAATTTCCTGCAAACAGTCTTTTTATCGGTTTCTCAAGAAATGCTTAAAAATAATGACAAGCATTTGTAGAATAGAGGGAAGAGTTAACGACTTTTTCCAATCTAAATAATAGCTTAATGACATTTTCCCATTCATAAACTTTTAAAATACCATTTTATTACCGAAATTTATATTTCGACAACGAACAAAGAGCAAACTCCGTCCAAGTTGTTAGGGTTTTTGAAGAGGGAAGGTCAATGAGTCTTTTGGTGGTTGAGATTGATCAAAATTTGACTTGGGAGGGGTGGTTATGCAAACCTAATCGTTTGATTGCCGATGATTGGCGGGGTCGATGGGAGTATAGTTTGAGGGGTTTTGGTGAGTGATGATTAGAAAAGAAAATAGTGGTAGTGTGGGGTAGCAACGATACCTAAATCAGAAACAGAATATAATTTTGATAATAAAATGATATTTTAAAAGTATATGGATAAAAAAATGATATTAAGTTATTATTTGAGTGAGAAAAAGTCGTTTACTGAGATGGAATTCTATCTTTTTGAACTATTAGAAAATATTAATATTTTAGGGCACGGTTTTATTAAGGTTATTTTAATAAAATAAGATTGAACTAAAATACTTGAACTAAAAAAAAAAAAAAATTACAACAACACAACTCAAAAACCTTTTTTTTTCAATTTTATCCTAACTGTTTTCATTTTAAGAGAAAATGAACTTTACGTTTAAAAATAATAATAATAATAAATGCGAGGAAAATGAATTGAGGTAACTGAGCTTTAAAATAAACTAACATGTAAATGTTTGAATAAATTCAAGAAATACAAATCTAGATTTTTTTTAAAAGATAATATATAAATAATGTAATTAAGGGACATTTTTCTATTTTAAAATCAACTTAAATTAAGATATGTTTATACACTTCGAGATCATAAATATGGAAATATATCAGAAATATATATGAATATAATTTTCTTACGAAAATAAAGGAGAGATATAGAAGGAAATTTTTGTTGATCAGTGCAACATAAAATCCAAACTCCATTAACATAAGGAAATGTCTCTTAATTTAAACACTTTTTCACCACCCAACAAATACTTCCTCTTAAAGCTTCTTACTTTTTATGTTTAAAGACATGAAAATTATTATTTACAAAAGATTAAGGACTTGTTTGTTTTTCGGTCTTATATCTGGATGAGCCTAATTTTAATTGATTAAGACATTTTGAGTTTTGTAGATGCAAAAATCTACCTTTACGAAAAGAGGGACTGATCTCGTGAGGTTAAGGCCACTAGCGATCTGCTGCACCTGCATACGTGAGAAACTAAGCATGAAGCAGACGGAAAACACAGGGGTAGTGTTTGTCGTATGCACTCCGACACTCAAGTCAGCAAGGCTGAGTGAGGCTAGTTTAGTGAGGGTTAGGGAGAGGAAAGGTTACCGGAAGTCTAGTCGGGGACTGTGACTACGACTGTAATGCGAAGTTCTTAAGTGGGAACTTCAGGGTCTGAAGGTGTAATGTCTCCGTCCTTTGTGAGAGGGCTGACCTCTGCTTAAATAGCGACTGCACGTTCTTCGAAACCTGGTAGGACTGGGAGTCCTTGCAGCGGTGGTCTTCTCAAAGAGTGGAGCCTTTGGCTTCCCTATCTTCATAGGAAAATGAGTCCCAATATGCCTAGGATACGAACCTTAGATGAATTGGGATAGCCCTTGACTTCGTTAGTAGAGTTCAAGTAGTACTGTCGTTCGTAGGCAACTGTGGGTTCCAAGTTGATCGAAAGTCCAGAAGGTGTCCTAAGATCAGAAAGCTTGGATCCAGATGGTGAGGACTGGGAAGGAGCGCCAGACAGGCCTCATTTGCGGAACTCCGAGTTGGGCCCCATCGGAATTAGGCCTGAGCTTTTTAGCTTTGTTGAAGGTGTCTTCGTCTTCCGGCGTACCTGAGCCGAGACATTTTTTGGCCCTAACAGTTTTCCCCCCACTCTCTGAGTTAAGGAGTGCTTAGCTTAGAGAGTAGACATTGCCTGGAGACGCATCTGGTCGGCCTTCGTGGCCTACCAGCTGAGTTTATGAATGTGCTGATTCTCTGTTCCCTGGAACAAATGATGTAAGCCCTTGCTGTCGGCAGGGAGTTTGGTATGCCGGTGTACCATGCAAAGTGAAACATAGTCATGCACACGTTCAGTGCGCCCGACTGAGTGAAGAAGTTAGTCAGCCCTGTTGGACTCGTCCGATGTATCGAGTCGAGGGGGAGTTTGAAAGTGCACGAAATCCACTCACTCGCGGTCTGCCCACCCGAGGTAGAAGGTGTGCGAATCCTCCCATGACAGTGTTCGTTCACTGTGTAGGGACGAATAGCTGTGTGAGTTGTCCCCTAGAAGTGACCTGGCTCGGTGTAGCGGACTGGGTTAACGTGTGTGTGAGCAAACCTTGAAAACATGCCCGGTCAGTACTTCCCATCGACCGGTATATGATAGGATCAACTTGGTGGTGTCGTAGGCTTGTTGGTTTAATCCAAGTGGACGGGAGTATGTCTGACTCAGATCGGGGAAACTTGCTCTCTCGGTCGGGATGACCGAGTTGGGGAGCTCATGTTTCGCTGAGCAATGTCCTGTATGAGGCTGGAGAACCGAGGTTGGGCAGTCAATAATTCCAACGGTGACTCCACTCGGTAGGGTGAGCTGAACGAATGGTTACCTTGCCACACGTGTACGGTCAAGGAGTCTTTTGCATTTGGGTGGGAAAATCAAAATATGCGGTTCTCGATAACCAATCGTAGGCCGCCATGTGTTAATTCTAACACATTTTCGCTGATAAAACCTGTGGGGTGATCGATCGTTTCATCTTCTCCTTTCTTTCTCTTTCACTTCGCATTTTTTCTTCGGGTATTGGGTTCTCTTCACAGCTTTGAAGGATTGCGGGATTTTGGCCACTTCTACGGTAAAAAACTCGTTCCTTTCTGCTATTTTCTATTTGGTTTCTTGTTTTCTTCGTTTCTGCAGTGTTGTTTGGAGAGATTGAACGGATTTTGTGGGTTTGGTAGATTTTTGGGAAGTTTTGGAAGTTTTTTTAGGAGTTGTAGTGTTTTGGTTTTCGAAAAGGTTTGAAATTTGGGTCAACAGAGAAGGTGCCAAAAATTTTTTTGTCGGTGATAGAAAATTCTGGATTCACGGTGGCTTTTCTGGGTTTCTAGAAGATGGAGTCAATTTGTTTAAGTTTCTCATTTGACTCGTCTCAGTCTACTTGATCGAGTCGAGTGTAGTGTCCGGTTGGGGTTTGAAGTCTGATATTCCTTTTGGGTCGATCGGTCTTTAAGACCGACTTGTTGGTGATTAAGGGTGAGTGGCATCAGGCGGCTATGTTTTGAATATGGAGTCGATTGGTAGTTTCGGTCGAGTAGGGATCAAACAGTGCTAAGTTCTGGAGAGGGAGTAGGTCGGTCGTGCGGGGCGAGTAAAGATCAATCGGTGCTAGGTTCTGGAGAGGGAGTAGGTCGATCGTGTAGGGTGAGTAAAGATTAATCGGTGCTAGGTTATAAAGAGGGAGTAGGTTCCAAATTGGAGAGCTCGGTCACCTGGGGCAAGTGGGTAGATTGTTCGATGTTTGGATTAGGATCCAACGGTTCGAGTGGGGCCGATGGCCGATGCAGAGGTTGGGGATGAGTACAATGGGTCAGGATCCAATGGTTCGAGTAGGGCCGATGGCCGATGCAGAGGTTGGGGATGAGTATAAGAATGCCCCGACCATGGTGATGATGCCCGAAGGTGGGGGCGTTCCTATCGATATACCGACTAGGGTGAACGTGGCTGTCTCTAGGCCGAGTGGCGCTTCCCTAGAAGGTGATGAGTCATACAGGCAGAGGGGGGAGTGGGGAAGACTCTGATAGTGTGGATGATTCTGGGAGTTCACCCTCCATTAGTAGTGACCCTAAGGACGAACCGAGCCGGCCCGGTGGTGGCATCTTGAGCTAGGATTACCCGCCCTCACTGAAGGATAATGATGTGTGGCGGATTCAGACGATGTATCACATTTCGGATTCAGTCGAGATCAGGGTGTCACGATCGTATAAGAGGCTCGATTGGGAAGCGAAGGGCTAGGTGAGCGCCTACGAGAAATGGTTCCATGATGGGTTGAGGCTCCCCATCCCTCGCCTTCTATGGGAGGTCCTTAACCATTTCATGATCGCTCCATCCCAACTTATGCCGAACGGATGGAGGTTACTGATGGCTCTGGAGGACCTTTGTGTGCGGCATCATGTGATGTTTAGGCTGCACAAGTTGTTGTACTTGTATTTATTAAAGGAGAACGACAGGGAAAAAGGTCGATACCTGATAAAACTTAGGCACGACCAGGCTCACCTCGTGACTGACTTCCGGTGGAGTGATAAGAATTAGAAGGATCGATACTTTTTTGTAAGAGGTGATATGGTCTTTGGGGAGAGAGGCCAAGGCGAGATTTCAGGCACTTAGCGAGCTACTGGTGAGAAACTTTATTTTTACTTTGAATTTTGATTACTAAATCTTATTGTGTTTTTTCTTTGTAGAAATTGAATTCAACCGAGCCAGGCAAAGTGGGGACAGCTTGGACGTGCAAACCTAGAACGTTCTAGCCATTCCCAAAGCACAGAGGGATTGACATGTGGTGTTGGAGGAAGCTAATCTCAGGACAAGTCATCTTTGGGCCAGAGTAGGAGCGATCCAACGAGGTATCCCCTTCCCTTCACTGAAGTAAACTTGGAGTGTGCTGCTAACTCGATACTGCAATCATA